CAACAATAATGCCTCCTTGAAGGCCCAGTCAACCTTCCTTTGGCAGCTCCACTGTGGGGAGGCTGCACCCAAGTGGCTGAGACAAAGTGGCTTTGTCCCTCACCAGGCCTGCCCCATCCCTGAAGCTGGGATCCATTGGCTACTTTAAATTTCTGAAGATCACATGCAGCTGAATATGTCCCCTATGGCATCAATTGGGAGGCACACAAGTCACCATTTTCTTCTAGGAGAGGGTTGGGGAGAAATAGGATCACCCAGCAGAGAGGCACAAGCACCTCCCTAGTTGTATAATAAGGGTACCTGCTCATGCAGCACTGGATTTAGAATTGCCCCCAAAGACTGGCCAAAGAGTGAGACTAAACCACAAGCCACACTTTGGTCTTCTACCAGGTGAAATGGGTTTCTGCCCTAGGTGTCCTCCTGCTCTCCCCTCCTTTCACCCAAAAACAAAACCCTAGATACCACAGCCTAAGTCATGTGGGTCATATCTTCATCTGACAAGTTACAAAATGAATGTAATTAAGCAAATGTATTAACTATGTAATGCATTTGCTTTCCTGTGTAACTTAGAGGTGATGAGGTATAGGATATTTGAGATGAAGCTGAGTGGAAGTTAACCAAGTTAGGATGTTTCTGTGCTTTTGGATCTTGTGCCTTGTAACTGTGTGAGCGCTGGTCATGATGTTTTCATGAGTATGTGAGGAAACTACTTGACAGGGATGATCCTGCCTTGAGCAGGGGCTTGGACTAGATGTAACTTCCTGATGTCCCTTCCAGACAGGTTGTTCTGTGATTCTGTTATTTTATTCAACACCCGGATTTCCTTTATTCCCAGTCAACTTGCAGCAGGGCTGCATGATAGGAACCTGCCTGCTTTGACTACTGTAGTCAAAATCAGTTCCTGTCACCAAATTTGAGCTGCTCCCAGCAGCACCCCACCATCAGACTGACCATGACCTTTCCATTTGATAATAGGCAAATTTATTGATACACAGTGATAACAGAAAAAGAGCAATACAAACAATGGAGCAATTCTATATATCTATGAAATCTTAGGACTGTCATCAGAGTCAAAGTACAACTGGCCAGGTTGTAGTCTTCATTCTAAGGCTCTCTTTTAGGTATCAGATGTCAGCATGTCAGCAGTCTGGAGGTGGGATGCCGAGGCTAACACCCCCCTCAGTGGGGTGGATGAGACAGGTTGTTGGTGTGCCCTCTGTCCATGGTGGCCTTAGGCACCCTTCCCCAGGGGACACGGAGGGGGACCCCTCTCAGGGAGAATGATGGGGAGGGACCTTTTCTTACTCTCAAGGCTCTGTCTTTGTGTTCTCCTTCCCTCCTGATGACACATGATGACTTTTCATCCATGGCTATCGCTGGATGGTTGTCATGCGTCCATGTCCTGTGTTATCAGCATATTCCAAGCTTATCACATGCACATATATGAATTTGGTCTTTCCAGGCCTTCTCCTAATGTAGTCTATTCCCCCAAAACCAGGACTCAGACCCCCCTGCTCTGGGGTCTTGGTAGCTGGTGCCACCTTATCTCGTGCTATGGAATAGTATGGTACATGCTCCCTCTGTTTTCCAGACTGTGTCCTTGTTGGCCTTGTTGTGTTAGACAGCCTGTCTACTTCCAAGGCTGTGAGAAATTGTGTGACTGTGTTACCCAGGCTCTTAGAAATCATTTAACCCCTGCCGCCCATTCTGAGCCATTCTAATGCAGATATATATAGATATTCCTATAAGAGAATTCCCAGAAAACAAACCTTTAAATACCATTTCCCCGCCCCCCATGGGGAATAACTGCCCCATTTAAAAAATAGGGAGACATCTGTACATTTCTGGATGTGATACTACTTCACTGGGTCCCTCCAATAAATGCACTAGGAGGGCAGCGTACCTCTTCTGGACCATTCCACTCCAGCCTCATGACACTTGGGGTCCTGCTCACTTCCCAGAGACACTCTGCAGCAGCTGTAGAAAGCTCTGCCTAGACAACATCTCACAAGTCCTGGACAGTGTGGATTGTAAGCCACAAGAAGCCCTTTCAGGACTACCATGTGTTGGTGACCAGGCACCACACACACAATGTGCATGTGCACGTGATGGTGGTCAACACTGTCCATCTTGCATTCCTTGAGAGTGTGAACAGATTCTCCTCACCCAACAATAATGCCTCCTTGAAGGCCCAGTCAACCTTCCTTTGGCAGCTCCACTGTGGGGAGGCTGCACCCAAGTGGCTGAGACAAAGTGGCTTTGTCCCTCACCAGGCCTGCCCCATCCCTGAAGCTGGGATCCATTGGCTACTTTAAATTTCTGAAGATCACATGCAGCTGAATATGTCCCCTATGGCATCAATTGGGAGGCACACAAGTCACCATTTTCTTCTAGGAGAGGGTTGGGGAGAAATAGGATCACCCAGCAGAGAGGCACAAGCACCTCCCTAGTTGTATAATAAGGGTACCTGCTCATGCAGCACTGGATTTAGAATTGCCCCCAAAGACTGGCCAAAGAGTGAGACTAAACCACAAGCCACACTTTGGTCTTCTACCAGGTGAAATGGGTTTCTGCCCTAGGTGTCCTCCTGCTCTCCCCTCCTTTCACCCAAAAACAAAACCCTAGATACCACAGCCTAAGTCATGTGGGTCATATCTTCATCTGACAAGTTACAAAATGAATGTAATTAAGCAAATGTATTAACTATGTAATGCATTTGCTTTCCTGTGTAACTTAGAGGTGATGAGGTATAGGATATTTGAGATGAAGCTGAGTGGAAGTTAACCAAGTTAGGATGTTTCTGTGCTTTTGGATCTTGTGCCTTGTAACTGTGTGAGCGCTGGTCATGATGTTTTCATGAGTATGTGAGGAAACTACTTGACAGGGATGATCCTGCCTTGAGCAGGGGCTTGGACTAGATGTAACTTCCTGATGTCCCTTCCAGACAGGTTGTTCTGTGATTCTGTTATTTTATTCAACACCCGGATTTCCTTTATTCCCAGTCAACTTGCAGCAGGGCTGCATGATAGGAACCTGCCTGCTTTGACTACTGTAGTCAAAATCAGTTCCTGTCACCAAATTTGAGCTGCTCCCAGCAGCACCCCACCATCAGACTGACCATGACCTTTCCATTTGATAATAGGCAAATTTATTGATACACAGTGATAACAGAAAAAGAGCAATACAAACAATGGAGCAATTCTATATATCTATGAAATCTTAGGACTGTCATCAGAGTCAAAGTACAACTGGCCAGGTTGTAGTCTTCATTCTAAGGCTCTCTTTTAGGTATCAGATGTCAGCATGTCAGCAGTCTGGAGGTGGGATGCCAAGGCTAACACCCCCCTCAGTGGGGTGGATGAGACAGGTTGTTGGTGTGCCCTCTGTCCATGGTGGCCTTAGGCACCCTTCCCCAGGGGACACGGAGGGGGACCCCTCTCAGGGAGAATGATGGGGAGGGACCTTTTCTTACTCTCAAGGCTCTGTCTTTGTGTTCTCCTTCCCTCCTGATGACACATGATGACTTTTCATCCATGGCTATCGCTGGATGGTTGTCATGCGTCCATGTCCTGTGTTATCAGCATATTCCAAGCTTATCACATGCACATAAATGAATTTGGTCTTTCCAGGCCTTCTCCTAATGTAGTCTATTCCCCCAAAACCAGGACTCAGACCCCCCTGCTCTGGGGTCTTGGTAGCTGGTGCCACCTTATCTCGTGCTATGGAATAGTATGGTACATGCTCCCTCTGTTTTCCAGACTGTGTCCTTGTTGGCCTTGTTGTGTTAGACAGCCTGTCTACTTCCAAGGCTGTGAGAAATTGTGTGACTGTGTTACCCAGGCTCTTAGAAATCATTTAACCCCTGCCGCCCATTCTGAGCCATTCTAATGCAGATATATATAGATATTCCTATAAGAGAATTCCCAGAAAACAAACCTTTAAATACCATTTTCTAAGGCAACTTTCCCCTCCTTGAAGGTTCACACCTTCACAACATAAATGGAACATAATCGCTGGAATCACCTGAAATGTTCATGAGATTTGTGGGGAGGACCTCCACCAGTCATCTCAGGAAAAGTATGATGGCATTCATGGTTAGGGGCTCCAAAGGGCTGGAAAATCCCCAAAAGGATAAAAACAAAACAATCCAGCCTTCTCAATCTTTGATATGACTTTGCTCCCTTCTTGAACTGTGCTCCATAGGGAAGAGGAGATTGGATTAAAAAATAAAATCTGAAATCTGAACTGCAGGATTGGCACATGCACCAATGTTTCATTTTGGGGTGAAAATTATTTTATGCAAGATGATGGAAAAGTAGAAAATCTTGGTTATAACCTGGCTCACATTGGTTTCATTTAAATTTATTAAGAAGAGGTTGAATATAAGTACAGATAAGCTAGGCATCAAATGAGAGAAGTGTCCATGCTGCTTGCATACTGGTCTAACTAAAATGCTGTACATTCATAGTCAGGCAAGGCTGGAGATGCAGAGAGATGAAGTAAGTTCATAGAGGGCCAAGGGCTTGTGAGTAGAAAGAGCATTTACATTAGAAGTGTGTGTTCTCCAGCAGTTATGAAATATCAGGAACAAATTGTATCTGCTAAGCCCTAGTGAAGATTAATTTCTCTTTCTTGATAAAATAGAAAAGTTAAAAAAAAATTATGTCCAAGGCTTTGTAAGCAGAAAGAGCATTAACATTACAAGTGTGTGTGCCAATGGACATAGATTGGACAGCTCTGCTGACCCCAATGTCTCCTTTCAAACATAAGGTGTATAATAGGGGGCTGTGGCTTTGAGCACATCCTTGATCAGGAAAATCAGGTGTGAAGAGGCAACGATCCCAAGAGAACATTGCCAAGGCTGCCCTAATGAAGTTGGGAGCACACACTGACCCTGACCTTCACTGGGATTTGTGCTCACATGGATCCTAATGTCACTCTTACTTGACTGGCAAGAACCAGAGGAATAAAAGCAATCTTGATTATCCTCTTCCTTTGTGTCAGTATAGGGGCAACTGCTGCGTTTTCTCCTCTGTTTCATTCTCCGCCCTGCTCATCGCGCCATGCTGTCTGGTGAGGTCCTTGAAAGCTGCATCAGTGGAAGTGAGGATCCTTGTTGATGGGTTCTGGTTCCAAGACCCTCCACTGGTCTGGGACAAGCATTTCTTATGGGACTCACTGGCTAAAGGGAGTGTTGTGTTCCTGGCAAGATAATCTATCCCAAACTCTCCTATTGGAAAGAACAACAGAAAGATTCAATCCTCACAAATACTCAGATCTGTGTGATAACCAACTGTAACTCAGGAGACTGATACAGATACTTGGACCCTGGACACACGTTATTGTTGTAGTGTTACAAAGTGTGTAGCTCTATAAAACCATGGGGTGTGCAAATGTCTGAAGTGGCTGAAGTGTGCAAAATTCACCAAAAAGGTCCACTCTCCAATATTGTGTTACAGGTCTGCTTCTCACCTCCCATCCTTCTTCCCCCAGTGGAGCTTCCATGTGAGCAGAACATGCTCAGTGACAGACTTGTTTGATCAGCACTTGCTGCCATAGCAACAGCAGTAGCAGGGGCTGCTGGGGTTGCTTCCCATAATAGAGATGGGACTGGCAGTTGGCAATAGGGGTGTACAAAGTGGGCCCTATTCGAGCCGGATTTGGATTCGGTCCGAATCGGGGACAGTGATCCGATTTGTTGATTTGGATCAGTGTCCCTGATTCGATTCGGCCGAATCCGAATCTGAAATTTTGATGCTGATTTGGAGAATCACCGATTCAGACACAGACATGGCTTTAAAAGTTTTTTCTATATACTTCAAAGTAGCAGGAGTGGCTCCTGATTGCTGTGGTGCTGGGGTGCATGGAGCATCCCACAGGAGTGTGGGGGGCCCTCCATGTGCTTGGCGGCAAACCTGGAAGTGGACCAGAGGTACTTCAGTCCACTCCGGGTCTGCCTGGGGAGGGGGTGGGAGGTGCCTCCCTGGCTTGGCGAACAGCCACTGGGGGACCCCAGGTACCCCCCCAGGCCCAGGAGACACCAGTCACCGAACTGGAGGGATGCAGGGGGGCCCCCCTGCACGCTGCTTCTTGTCAACTTCTGGGTCTGCTGCTGAGCATGCTGGGGAGCCCCCCGCACTCCTGTGGGACACTCCATGCACCCCAGTATCACAGCACTCATGAGCCCCTGCTACCTAGAGCTATGGAGAATAAACATTTAAAACTGTCTCTGTCCAAATCTCTGAATCTTTCCAAATCTCTCTGAATCAATTCAGACAGTTCCGATTCAACTTGGAGAAATTAAAGGGTCCTCTGATTCGATTCAGATTCAGAGATTCGGCCACCAAATTGGGCCATATATCCACAGAATTGAATCAGAGATCGAAGTTTTGCACAGTCCTAGTGGGCAACCAAGGCAGTTTTGGCTCCTAGTCAGTTGTAAGATGCAGAGACTTTTATGAACTAAACTTCTTGTCCAGCCACCCTCAGGGAATATCATCTCTTCTCTGTCCCCACTCAGTGCAGTACTTACGATTTCTTTCCAAGTAGAAGCCGGCGTCATGATACCCTTGTAAAATAAACTCATGCACCACCTACCGAGAAAAGATGTCAGGCTTGTAAACAATGCTTGTTGTACACACACAGCAGACGGTAATTCTAGGATTATATCAATTTCTGATGGCTACTCACCAGACGGCTGGGCGGAAAAAAACAACAGACCAGTCTTTTTAAGTTTCCTGGTGACATTTGAAATAACTGCTGCAATGTGTACACACTGAGGTAAGTGCCTGGATTATCCCTTGGGCAGATGTCATTGTCAAATGCAAACCCAGACACTGTAATCATGGTCTTGTGGAACAAAGCCTTTGGGCTACTGAGGGCTCCATCAATATAGCGCTAGAACAAAACGCAGCACAATACCTGTGTTAGGTAACAGCTATCAGTCATTGGCCAGCACCTCTGACAATCGTATTTTCTTTTGGTTTTGCTGGAGACCAACGTGCATTCCAGACAACTATTACCTCATCTTGTGCCCCTCTGGCCTTAGGACTCCCATCCACGGGTAGGTCTCTCAGTCGCAGGTAGCCAACTAAGGTCCAGCAAGCAGCGAGGTGCTTGTTCAGCTCTGCAAGTCTTCTTTCCTACCCTGTTGTATCTTCCCCCATGTTCCCCTCCCATCTAACTGGTTGTCCACCAGCTGTGTCCAAGATACCAAGGTCTCTGAGACAGGGACTTTCCTTCTACTCTTTCTCCCTACAGGGGAACCAGCTGTTTCATCTGGGCATGCAACTCGAGGGAAGGAGCTGCTTTAAGATTTTTTCCCATCTCTACCAAACGTGGCTGTGCCCTGGTTATCCAGTTTGCCATCCAGACGTCATTCTGCTCTGGAAGGCTGTAAGGAAAGCCTTGGACGCCAAGTATGCTGGGAGTTGGATCCCCATGGGGAAGGTCTTGGAGATGGAGGGACCTGTGGTAGCAGGAGGGAGCCCCCATGGCAGTAATTAACTAAAATCCTGACCCAGGCTCACAGGCTCCTGCCTCTGCTGGAAATTGGATGAGGAGGAACTATGGGGAGGGCTTAAGGATCAGACTCCTGATTTTTTTTATCTGTGTTGATCACAAAAGCCACTGGCAGCTGCTGAGCGGTTCCCCGGGTCTCAGCCAAGGATACTCACCACACCCTGGAAAGAGGGAGGGATGTACCCATTATAGACAGGAATGAAGCAGCTGCAGGACACTGCCTGTGGGGAAAGGAAGCACAGAGAGATAATGGAGCAGGGCTCTCTTTAAGCATGGGGATGAGGAGTACCCCCTAGAAATGGATCATAATGTTTGGGGTATTTGGACCCTAGACTCTGGGTCAGGCCCAAGAGCACAGGTCTGGCCATGCCATGTTTCATGTGCCAGGGATACCGCCCAGTGTAGCCACTGCTCGGTCCCAAATGTGTGGAAAGGGGTAGTGCTGCCCAGTGGCGTGGCTGCCAGATTGGAGGACTGTGCATCTGGGTAATCCAGCCAGCTCCCCTATGGCATCTGAGCAAAGTGGTGCAACTCTTGTCAGAACAGAGATAGATCCTGATGCAAGTTCAGCTGCTGGAGTCTTGTGGGAGGATTCTCGATAGAGTGAAAAAAATCCAGGTCCTGCTCAGAAAGCTGCCACAGATGGCAACAGAAGTGCCAGTTATGCCTAAAGGCGCAGCCCCTGGCACTGGTAACATGGTTTGGAGAGTAGCATGTGTAATTCATGAACTGGTTAATTCTGCCTGCTGCCTCCAATTTGCCAGTGAGGGGTCAAGCTGACAAGCCTTTGGCTTGAAACCTTCCATGTGGGGTTGGAGCTCGATGGGGGAAGCTCATTGGGAACCTGCTCCTGAATCATAAAATCATAGAGAATGAGGGTTGGGAGGGACCTCAGGAGGTCACATCTAGTCTGACCCCCTGCTGAAAGCAAGAGCAGCCCCAACTAGATCATCCCAGCCAGGGCTTTGTATGGCTGGATGTTAAAAAGCTGGAAGGATGGAGATCCCACCACATCTCTGGGCAACCTGCCCACTGTAACCCCCAGGTCCTGGCTGCTACACTCCTTGGAATTCTTCTTTACCTCTGTGTTCAACTGCGATCTTGTCCCATGTGTAGGGGAACCTTGCCTTATCTTGGTACTCACCTGTTGCTAATTGACTCTGGATATGACCATGATCTGCAACCAACTGGAGGGCTTGGTGGCAACATGGTGGAGCTACTCGTGGTGGGGTAGCTCCTATAAAATACTACAACATTGCAAGCTCCAGAGTGAGGGGAATTTAGGGTGCCTCAAACCCCTAACCCCCACTGCCTTGTGGGTACTTCTTGGTTGGAGAAAGGCTAAGGGATGTCACCGTGACAGCAACAGCTTTAATCTATTGCTCTCTGGCAGAAGCTACAACCATTGAGGTATTGAACATTTGGGACTTGGTTTGGCCTTTGAACTCTGACTTC